GTACACCACACAAATATGAATTCTATAACACACCTTAGGTTTGCTACGATGTAACGTTAGAGTGATCCATAAGTCCTCCGCCGACGAGCACCAATCCCTGCGAACGTCCGACACAAGGTCCCGTATCACTGCTATTAAAACCCCTCCCCCCATGTACTGGTTCGTATAACTATAATTCCTATCCCGTCTCCAAACAATGTATCTGTTGTCAAACAATTCGCAATCAGAAATACCATCAATAAGCCAGGTCTCGGTTAAACAAATAATATCATAATTACTGACACACACATTTCTATAAAAAACACTTGTTTTCGTTCGCAGTCCTCGAACGTTTTGATAATAAATACTAATAGGCGCCATCATAAATAAAAGTAATAATCGATATTAGCATTTGAGTTAAAATCATCATCAGTCACTGGATCACTGGATCAGTAATCAGGATCACTTATCACTGGACTATTCTCGTCAAACTATACAGCATACTTGTCCAAAGAGGATTGTAGTTACTTTGTTGCGCAAAACTAATTTCCTCAGTCTTAAAAAAGAAAACGGACCTATTAGCTCACTTGCATCGGGTAATGTGTATGCCGCACCTATGTACCACTCCTATACACTCCCCTTACCACGGTCATTCACCTCACCTAGGTATTTATTAACCAGGCATAAATCACTACAGTACACTGCCAGTAGCTCGTAAAAAGTTACATCACGCGATCATCGAATCTGTGGCCCCTTTTTGTGTTTTTCGAAGGGAGATAATCGTTTTGTGTGCCCATAAAAAGTAGGAAGCACTTTCCGTAATGGATATGTTATTTAATGTATGCAGCACGATCGAAGTTTTCAAACACATATCATTTTAATTGAAAAAGTAACATTTAACTTTTTCAATTAAGATAATATGTGTTTTCACAATTTTGTTAATTTTAGCTGTAATTTATGTATGAGATAAATAATATTACACTGAACAGTTTTTATGAGAAACAGAGCTAAATTAACTGTGATACTTTTTCTTAGAAATTGAACTACAGAACTGTAAAAACGTGAGTTATCATCAACACTGTCTAACATAGAGCCATGAGAATTAAACATAGTGTTACGTAAACAAGGACAAATTAGAGTTGGCAAAATGTGTTGGTTTAATGCGACTCACTCTAGCTCTTCAGGGACACCCCATGTAAAAGGCGTGAGTGTATACCTACATGGCATTTAGTTAGCTACCCATGTGAGAATACCTTCCATATGTTTGAACATATCTTTGCTTTCATACTTTATATTATAAATGTGAAAGTGAGTATGTTTGTTTGTTTCTTAGCCTAAACCACTAGATCAATTTTAAAAATTATTTTACCAATAGAAGGCTACATTGTCTGTGAGTGACTTAGGCTTACCGAAATAACCGTCAGGCACGCGTGCTGGTATAAAATACTTTAAGAACCAAAATACACTTTGATATTATTTTAAGAACACGCTAAGAGTACCGTTGGAACTTTGGATCTAAGCATTGCAACTTTGTAATAGTAAGTAACGGTTCCAGACTTCCGTTATTTATCTAGGATTGTTAAGTCTGTTTTTAAATAGTTTGAAAGGTATGTCTATACTTTGATATGTCTGTAGTAATAAAAATTTCACAAAGGTAATTAATAAATTAAATTTATAATTTCATTAAATGTTTGATCACATCAAAATATGGTCTGACAACCTGAAATAACCGTTTAACGAAAGCAATAGCTAAATGCATGACTACTTCATGGTGTGATCAAATATTAGTCTCTTAAAATAGTTTATTAAATAAATACAATCACGTCGCTAAGCATTGGTTTTACTTTCAGACGACATCCAAGATATAAAAGTATAGCATATATTTACTCAAATCTAATGGCTAATAATATACCTGTATTTATAAAATACGTGTTAATAATATTAAAACAAAAATAAATGGATTCTTTGATTATTTTTATTTCTTTTTTTTTTATATCAGGTGGTTGCCACTAAGATTTCTTTTTTATGAAGTGGATTAATATAATATGGTAATGGTAACATACTAATTGTGGGTAAGTACAACAGGTAAGGCAAAATTAATTAATTAAGCGGCCGTAGCCTAGTGGTGGTATTGGACTTGCGATCAACAAGCCGTGGATTCGAATACTGACCGGTACACTACCGACGTGAACCCACTCCTAACACAAGCCATTTAGCTTAGCTGGAGGGGTTAACGGGAATACTAGTAATTTCGATTGCTAGTAAGCCTTAAAAAAAATTTCAAGTGAATAAAATGTGACTTTGTAAATAAGAAGAATTTAGTTATTTTCAAATGTCTGGTTAAACCCACGCGTAAAGGAATAGCAGTATTAATGTGATAATGGTGACCCTGTAGAAAAAGGGCTATGAAGCTGTTTCGTTTGACAATAAGGAAAACCCAAATATATTTCGTTTCATGGTATGTACGAAAAACAATTTAATTTTCCAATAACCTTTGTCGTCAGGCCATAAAAAAAAGACAAAACCATTTCGCAATAAAATGGAGGAGATCGTGAAAGAGGATGTCAAGTGATCAAGGAGAATAGAGAAGAAGAAAGCTTATAGCACCGACCCCAAATACATTTGGGAAAAGGATGGGAAAACGAAGAAGAATTAGATTATACAAGTCAATCGAGAGAGTAGTTTCTTTGCCTATACTCAGTCATATCTTAATGGATATTATTAAATTTATATTCAGGGTATTTTAAAACAAGATGGGTTATCTTATTTTCAATCACAGTCTCCTTTTTAAATGCCGTGACTACCGCCTACTTTTGACACGTGACATTTCATCATATTACTAAATAGTACATTTGACGTTATTGCTTTCGAAATGAATATTCAAAAGCCTTTATGAAAAAAAATCATTTAAAAATGTTCGTTATTAATTAAATTCATGTTTCAAAAATGTACGTGGATTTAATCTACTCATTAATTTTGTAAGTGCTCTTTAGGATATATCGCGGTCTGTGCAAAATAATGACGGTATCACCAAAAGGACGGGAATTGGAATTACGAAGGAATAGATGGGCGATACTCAATTAATTTAAGCCACTGACAGTCTGATTAATAGCAATGAGTATCGATCAAAACTCCCAGCAGATTTTAATTTCGTATATTACGTAGAATAACCAAAAAAGAAAAAGTAATTCTCAGAAATTCTTTTATATAACCGAGAAGTTAGAAATGTTTTATATCTAAATTGGACCAATAACACTATTGAAATTCTTTAAATAAATTAAATACATATTACATATGTAATGTGCAGGATTCTTTTTAAATAGGTGACAAGTCCATGAAAAACTTATTAGACCGTTGACGTCTTTCAGAGGTAAGCTGGGCTCTTTCATAATCATTAGCTGAGTTTTAGTCGGTTCGAGTCCGACATGCCACCGACAGGTGGTATCCGAGGGGATTTCCGCACGGAAAAAAAAAAGAAAAGGGTGGCAAGCTGCAGCATTTAACACTCTTAGTTAGCGCTCATAAATGTTTTAGATCCTTTTGCCTTAGTAGAACGTGATAATACTAATCTATCTGTTTCTTTTGAAAAGCAACGGTAATAGCATAATGAAAATTACAAGGCTTCTTATCATATCTCCGATTGCAAATACTTTTTGGTAATAAATTGTAGTGTTACTATTTTCATCTTTCAAAAGATAAAAAAAGCTATTTCTAAAACAGGTTTTTGCATGTTCATATTGTTTGGGCAATATATTCTAATGCATTTTTAAGTGGAAATATTAGAAGAAAAGAAGTGAATAAAATATTAACCTCTGTATTATATATATGTTATATTTACTAAAATTTAATAATATAAAACATATAGACACAATAATATGACAATAATTATCGTCGGATCAAGAACCAGCGTCAGCGACCTCGGCTTGTTAAGAAGTACGGAGAGAGTCTTGATTCAAATTACAGAGACGCAAGCTAAACATGATTCGTAACCGAGGCCATTTTACATAAAAATAAAATAAATATTTTTTTATATTGTTACACACTTAAGGGAATATGTTATTTTTACATATTTTTACATAAATATACGAATTGCTTTAAATTTTTTTACAGGTCTATTTTCTCTTACTTTCAGGGAATCTAAAAAATCTAAAGTCTCAATTGAAGAAAATAATTATTTTACTAATAATTATATAACACAAACATAATTACTTAACACGAAATTTAAACTGTTATTTTAACTAACAGAAGTGGTGTCTATAAAAATAAAGACCTTCAACGGAAGAGAGGTTAAAGAGTGGCAAAGTCAACACTGTACAACGATATAAAACTACAAGTAGGTACATTGACTAAAGTCTAATGACGTCGTACGAAAAATACACGCTTTTATTCGAATTTATGTGTCGGTAAGCGTGTGCGGAACTCCCTTCGGATACCACCTACTAGTGGGTGATTATGTCGAACTCGAACCAAACCGAACCAAAAACCGCATGCCGTCTCCAGGTACCAGTAGCCGGGGAACCAGGTATACCCTAGCAAGCAAAGCCCTGGTACCACCCACGCCTGGCATTCTGCCAGCGTGTGAAGCGTCGCAGTGGTGGCACTCAGGCGTTGGCTCCTTGCGGATCAGATACAGATGATCTCCGAAGCATTCTTTCCCGATGATCACCTGCGTCAGCCGGTATGAGAGGATTCCGTGATGCCTCTCGGGCCAATCTTGCATAACGGGTCTTACCGCCGCGATAAAGGCGTACCTTCCACTCCTCCAGGAGAACCCGGGGGAGCTTGAATTTATGATCATCAATTTCTCGAGACTCAGGACTAAAACTAAATAAATAGTATAGTAATAAGTTGGTCTTTTTATAAGGTTTGACGTCTTTAAGGTTATAAAATGTCATCTTTAAAACTTACCAAATGTAACAAATGTCTAAAGACTTAACCAAACAAAAAATATATAAGAATGCTTTGCAAAACATTAAAGATTTATTAAGTGTTTATGATTGTTTTATAAACTGAATACTTACACGGTCGACATTTGTAAGTGACTTCGACGTATTTGCTATGCGTCGGACAGGGGTCTATGAGACCCGGTTTGGGCACCGTGCTGAACTTACATTGGGGTTTCTTCTGACACTCTTCCAACACTGTTTGCAGCAGTGAAAACTGTGAAGGAAATAATTATTGAGGCTTGACGAATTATGATTATTTTAAATAGTAATTGAGTATTAATTAATAATTAAGTATCTAAGAAGACGCTTTATGTTGACAAACAGACCTGTTTCTGCAAAATAAAATAAAAAAATTTGAACATAAAGTTCTTTCTTACGTATTAATATACAGGATAGGTTTAAAACTAGTTTAAAAAAATTAAAAGTTTTTTTTGAGTAAGTATGATTCCAGTGCCCTTATATTTTTAGCATTGGTCAGTTTCAGTTGTTGTTATCTCAGCTTATCGCAGCAGATCAAGGGTTTCCCTCAATAGCTTAGTTAGCTTTTTTACAACACAATTTTCCGTTTTCAACACATTTTTCCACATTTTTTTTAGCATGGGTTATAATAAAAAAAAAAACAACAGCCCTACGGAACAAAACAATGGCAGCCAAGCGTCAAGATAAAGCTCTGATAGACGATCAAGTGATTTTATCTTAAAATCCTTACAAGTATGTCGCGTCATCAAATTTTTCTTTGTTATCAGTTAGTACTTACAACTTCTTCAAAGCTGATCGAGGTTTTGCTAAAATATTATTTTTAACGGCGCGATTTGGCTACCAAAATATGTATCTACGTGCCTTTATATTTAAAATCCACCTTTAAAAATTAAAAATTTCCATATTACATTGAGTAAAGAATAATTTATGAAACCTTATAAGAGGTTACTACACTACATAGGTACTAAATTTTGGAGGTGCGTAAAGGAAAATATTGCTTTAAGTGCAAAAGGGGATCTAATGTTTCCTATTAAGGCCATTTTTCTTTTTTTATGTCAAAGGATGAGAAACGGTGTTTTAGCCCACCTGACATTAAGGGGTTGTTCCAGTCAGTAGGCTTCCGCAATTTTTCTATGACTTATAAATGTATCTCCACCCATAAATGTAACTCATTTGAATTTTATGACAAACACACTTTATTAATTTATTTGAATTTTATATTTTCATAGATTACAAAAAACCAGAAAAGAAATTTAAAAAAAAATATTTACTATCCAGCTTAAATATTTTTGATGTTCAAAATGTTGAACTTTCGTGTTCTATGATGATACCTCTCGAGTCAGCCTGTGACCTCGACCAGTGTAACCTGGTCGGAATGTCAGGTATGTTACGTTATCGCCTTGATTCCCGTATGTAAACACAATTTTGTGTTTAATTTTTAATAATAAACGCCTGACCTATTTGTCTAGTGGTTAGTGACCCTGACTGGTGATGGGTCGTGGCTTTGATTCCCACTCAGGACAAAAAATTGTATGATGAGCAAGATCATTTATTCTGTGTCTGAGTACCATTTATCTATAATATGTATTCATCCAGTAATGTATAAGTATGTTAATCAACGGTCTGGGTACCATAGCTTATCAAGTGAATGATGAATAAATGATTGTAAAATAAATAATACTCTGTTCTATTCTAAGTTAATATTATTTTACTTTGGTCTGGAAATGGTTGAATAATTTACTCAATTCACTTTCTGAAATTAGCTAATAATCATCCCATTTACATTACTCCGTCACAACGGATCACGACACAATTACGTGCCGCTACATTTGTCCCCCATCTGAATATTGTCCAAACGCAAGCTGACACTATACATTAGGTAATTAGGATTCAGCCAGCGGCCTATCCGAATGGATTATAGTACCAATAAATGGAGGCTAGAAACGGTTATTAAACTCTAGTGTAGAATGAGATATGTCGAATCTATTGTTTGAAAAATTATAATAATATTTCGGACACCTGACACACAACACCATCTAGTTTCAAATGACACAGAGCTTGTACTATGAAAGCTAGATTTCCTGATAGAATACTTATATATTTTTTATTGTAAATAAATATATATTAAACATAGAAAACACCGAAACACCGAAACAAATATTTGCAGACCATACAAACATTTGGTCCGATCCGGGAACCGAACCAGCAGCAAATTTATGTCAGCAGTTGCATACGTTATCACTGCACCACGGAGGCTAGCTGAAAGCTAGTTTCATAGAACAAGCTCTGTTTAGTTTGAAACTAGATGGCGTTGTGTGTAAGATGTCCGAAATATAATTATTATACTTCTATACTTACTTATTTCTAATGTTATTAATAAAGTGAAAGTAAGTTTTTTTGTTTGTTATGCTTTCACGCCTAAACCACTAAATCGGTATTAAATTCTATTACAAATGGACAGCTACATTATTAGCGAGTAACATAGGCTACTTTTTACAACGATAACCGACATAAACGCGGGCGGAGCCGTGGGCTAAAGCTAGTTTACTATATATTCATAAACAGTGAACGAATTACTTTCAACCTTAGATGGTTTTAAAACATCTATTGTATTCAAAATAAGAATAATTTTGAAACCTTAAATATGTAAAATACCTGTACATTATATGTCATATAGGTATTTAAAATAATTCTGTAACAAGTTTTCAGCTGTTACTCGGAGTTTCCTAATTATAGAATTTGGCGTCTAATTCCTTAAACTTCTTCAGAACTTAGAAGATTACTTATGTGACCCACTTTCCTATAATTATATCTAAACTGCAATGTTTCTTACGCTCTAATTAACAGTGTAGATGTTTACTGCTAAGCGGAATGTTCGCTTTTCTCGCTTAAAAAATGTCATACTTTTAATTCTGTCAGCATGTTTACACTACACAAAACGAAGTGGTATAATGAGGTCAAATTTTGACTATGTAGTGCCTTGTTGCAACGGCTAATAAAACCGTAACTGGTATTGATGGACAGATGTGTAGCCTGAGGCAAATCCGAGGCAGTCAGTCAACCTACCAATGTGTGGTTACTTTTAGAGCTTAGTAAGCTAATATTTTCATTAATTTCATTTTTCATTTTTTCATTTAAAAAAGACAACTCCCGCATTAAGAATTTACCTGTATCGCGAGGGACTTTACAAACATACATGAAACCCTCACAAGGAACACCCAGACCCAGAACAACAATTTGTGAATGAGTGCAGACAATTTTCAAGTTTTCAAATTTCAGTTTCAAATTTTCAATTTTCAAGTAAGATATTAAAGGTAAAACTATGTAGGACTTTTTTATTTTGGCCTTTTTCTTTTTCGATTGAATAAAGTTTACGTTGACTTAAAAATACATTTTCACTCTTGTAAGTCAATTTCGAAATTTAAATAAAAATATAACTCGCTCTTAATACTATACTAATAGATACAGTATAATAAGGTTTCGTACTACTACTATATATAGTAGTAGTACGCAAACAAGCAAAATCATTTTTGTACTGTGTAATAAATAATTATAATAAGGTCTATTCGGCACTTGTCTGTTCACCGTAGATACAGAACAGGTTGGTAGTTTTTCCAGACACTGGCACTTAATTAAAATGGCAAATTTCCATATCCTCTTTTGAAAGCTACTAACCTATTTCTACTACGATTTCGCCATCTATGGTGGTTACTAATAAGTAACCACGTAATTTATTTATAGCATCGCATGTCACTTAATACTGATTTCGAAGTTTCAACTTTAATGTGCTTTCAACTACGTTTCCAAATAATTCCAATGTTTGTTGTTGTTGTTGTTACAAATTATTGAATCACTTATTTAAATGCAAAGATTTAATTTCAGCTTACTAAATGTGACAATATACTAAAACACCACAGATAAGAACTCCGTTTTAAGTTAATAGTCGAACCACATATGCATATATACGTAATAATTAAAATATTAGCAGCTCAAATGATTGATTCAAATCATGTGTAACAATAAGTTAGTCAATTATTAGTTATTGGCGTAATTTAGCAATAAAATTTCCTGTAATTTAATCGGTTATAATCAAACGTTTTATAGCTAAATAGTGGTTTAATTATTTTATAAGAATGTGTTTAACTTATGATGAACTTATTAGAAAATGTATCATCATTTGAAAAATAAAACTATCCAACTTCTTTGATTATACGTATATTAGATCACATTAGACGTGTAAAAAAGGTGTATTAGATGGCTCCTGATGGTGTTATGCTCTCATGGTGCAATAGGTTATACCAAAACTCGCATTTGAACGAAACGTTGCTGAATCGCTCAGACTATATGTAGTAGTACGGTAGACCACGATCGATTTAATTTGACCGAAACATCGGTTAACCAATAAAGAATTGTGCCTAAATAATCCCGATTTACATAAAACGTGTACTTATTTGAAAAATACTAGATGTGTTATATATATTTTTTGTGAGCAGTAATGCACGTGCCCTTGATTGATACAAGTGATCACTAGATAAAACAATTCTACTAGAACTTTCTTAGCAGGAAAAGGAGATTGGTTCCATTGTCATTAATATAATATTTCTAATAAGCATTTCACTGGAAGGCTTTAAGTGGACTCTTGTATTTATTGTAGCCGTTATTAGTTTTGGGCGAAAGGTTCTTTTCTAGAGGAACAAATTACTATCCCGGAGTTTTACTTGCCATTGAACCATTAATAGAACCAACCAAAACTCTCATAATTCCCATATCTTATTACTAATACGCTTGGGAGATTCACTAAGTTGTAATTTTATTAATGCATCATTTATAAGCTGTAACTACTAATTTGAACAGTTATTTTGGTTATTACCAGTAATTTTTTAACAAGTTTTTTCGTTTTAGCTTTTTTACGGGACTTTTATTTTTGTATAAACATGCTACAATTATGTACTATAATATTTAGCAGAATTTAATCTAATTTACTGTACGTTTTCATGCTTTGGTAACTGAAAACCAATCAAATCAATGGTGATAGCTACATAACACCATTGATTTATTTTATGATACCTAACCTACATCAACAAGTTAGTTAATTAAAATGAAGAAAAAATAATATCTAAATTAATCTTTTATACGAATTTAGTTTGTTTAAAAATCTCTCACCTGCATAGCATTAGGTCGTTTACAGTTCTTACTTTCTTCACTTTCCTTAGTATTCACACTGGGACAGCCATTCTCAGGTGGTTTTCCATACTTGGCAACTCGTATACTGATCATTGTTCCTGTAGGACATGTTAGTGAAACTGTTTCATCATTGCAAACTGCCCGAGGAATATCCTTCAGCGTTTCCAGTAAGAGACCTGTGGAAGAGAAATCTTATTTAAACTTGTTATCTTTACTTAGTTACATGGCAAAACATGTTGATACACAAAAACTAACCAATTGAACTGTTTAGGATTCATTTCCTGTAAGCTACACATGTTTGAAGCAAATAAATATATTATTATTATTATTACTAGTATTACAAAGCCTATGTATTTATTTGTCTGTCTTTCATGCTTTAATAATAATTTACAAATATGTTTGGGGAAAAAAATTGAAAAATTTCTTTCGTCCTGAATTTACACTAATGTGTCCCATTGATAAAAAAAAGCTTACGTCCATGAAAGATAAATAAAAACTAGGCATGATGAATCTAAGTATCAAAATCAATTTCCGTGCGTTTGGTATATAATATATATTTAAATTGTAATGGTGGCTATGGTGGTGGATAAAAATTCTTTTATGTTGAATTGAGAAGTATATAAATAATTCTTTAAAAAAGAACTAGTTAATCAAGATTAAAACTCTCGTTTTTATTTCGTGTTTTGTCTTGCGGCGGTATTCGACGGCAATAACAAAACTCATAATTTCATAGAAAACAACATAATCTAGATCCAAACTAAGTACATCTCACATTTATAAATGTTTGTCAGGTCTAACATAAATATTACACATTCAATATTTACGGCTGGACCAGAGTTATATCATGGCCTCATAGAAACCCATTGACCAAACCCGTGTTCATTAATCAATTATATTTTACACTAGCTGGTACCCGCAACTTCGTTCGCGTAGAATTTGAAAAGCACTGCCTTAGTGGGTTCGATTTAAGAACCGGGCAAAATTTAAAAAAGGGATTTTGTGAGAGGAAGAATTTTCTAAGTTACTCCTAATATAGACAGCTAATTGATTGAAGTTTTAGTCAGCTGGTACTAAAATATTATCAAAATGCGTCCAGCCGTTTAGAAGATTACCCAGAACAAACAGAAACATAGACAAAAATTATTTAAACTGGTTTATAGGCACAGGTATCATGCAAATAACCGTGTGAGCATGATAAAAACCTATTATTTTGACATTACAAACATACACTTCAATTTTTATTTATTTGTATAGAAGATTTCATCACCAAGTGAGGTTAAAAACCTACTATCACTAGGGCACTAATACTTGCACTTAAAGGGCGACAATGCACTTGTGTGGATTAACTTGGGGCGTTAGTAGTTTCTAACAATCAGGTGACATGGCTGCTCGTTTGCTCTCTGCGTGATTCATGAAACATATCCCAGAATATTATCACTATTATATCATGCCTAACAACGGTGGAAACATAAAATACCGAAAATCTTAGAATATTAATAAGCATACAAAGTTATTTCAGGGTTCACCTTAACAATGTGTTTGATAAAGATATAAAGCTAATCTCACACACACAATCAGTTCGTCTAGTTTATGTTACATACAAAATGTAGCTTCGTTTCCAAATAAACCAAGAAGGTTTTCCTTTCATTTTCGAAACCCCAGAAAAGATGACCCCTAAAGATGTCAAGATAATCATATATGTAGGCAATATATAGTCGTACAAGTCTAACCTTACAATAAGTCAAATCAAAATGAAGTTATGTACATATGTAAAATCCATATCTCCATACTTATACTATAAATGCGAAAGTTGGTTTGTTTGTTTTACGCCTAAACCACTAAACCGATTTTAAAAATTATTTTACTAATGGAAAGCATAATGTAACTTAAGGAGCGAGTCACATAGGCTACTTTTTACGGCGATAACCAACATACGCGGCGGAGCCGCGGTCAAAAAAAAAGTAATATACATATATAAGTACCTAAACAATAGTCCGTGTGGTGACGGATTAAGAATACAGAGTGTCACCACCCATATTCATCCCGTGGGTGTCGTAAGAGGCGACTAAGGAAGCAAACTACGCAGGACAACAGCACTGCAGAGAGAAGGAAAACTTGAAACAAACCCTATACCAACCCGTCTGGCCAGTTGATGTGATGAAACAATAATATATAGGTATTGATTGGTATACGTGTAGTATCTTATACATCTGGAATATATACATTCCGTATCAAAGTTTTAAAGAAAGGTGTTACTAACGTTAGAGAAAAATGTCATATTTAAATAGAAATTTTGAAGGAATGAAAAAAATCGATTTAATAATTCTGATAAATGCTGAATTTGTTAATAAAAAAATAAGATAGGTAATTGAAAGCATTTAATTTTTTTGAAAATAGTGATTCATTAAAGTTGTTTTTTTTTTTTTGTATAAATATATATCTGTATAAAGTCAACCAATCTAGTCACGTAAAGAAGAACAACAAGATCTCGGTGCTACTTACACCTGTGCTACTTACACCGACATTCACAATCAACGAGTTCGTAAACATAACACAACAAATACAATATTTCGACAAACTGATATCGTCAGATCCTGTCTACTCCACCAGCTAGAACTATTATGACATACGTTTTGTCAAGATTAACTTTGGCAACTCTATTCCTGGCTAAGAGTTGAACTTTTCGTGTTTGCTACTCCTGTATTATATTAAGTAGCTATTTTCACAGTATTGGCAACTTTTCTAGGGTTACAACAACTTTGCTGACATCTTACAAAGTATAGCTGGGTCGTTGAAAGTGATAAATGAATACTTCAAAAGTTACAGTCGCAATCAGTCTTGAGCACTCAATTAAGGACTAAGTTTCAAGTTGTATTGTATAAGAATGCGTTTGTATTATGTAACGTTATTTGAACATCGGAAAAAGGTTTTTAAAGTCAGTTTGGAATTTTACTTTAATTCAAAGTTATGTTTTGATTATTGTACACGCAAAATTAATAACACAATATATATATACAGGAATGAAAGGACACCTAAAAAGCAAGTTTAATTCATTGTTGCGTTTTCTTAAGGCAACGTTTGAGAATGAAAGGAACAGTCATCCGCCATCCGCATAGAAAAAAAGAGGCAATCATGTGTTTGTTAAATATAATGATTCATCAACAGCCTTCTGCTGGACATAGGGCTCTCCTTATAAATGTGGTTTTGGCCTACCATACCACGCTGACCAGACAGGTTGGTATGGGTTTGTGTCAAATTTTCCTTCTCTTGAATGATATTATGATTAGTGTGATGTTAAGTTACAAATTTCTTATCCGAAGATAAGTAATTATGTCCTTGAGTGTCCGTCTAAAAACAATTGGTTCTCATAGTTCGAGATATGATTACAACTGCCAAAAAAGCGATGGTTGATGAAGGAAACATGTCCTAATCTAAATGGAAACTGTAAATCTAAAAAAAATCGGACTGATAAAGTGAGGAAATAAATTAATATCGATCGGGTGCTATGGCACATGTTTGGAGAGCAATTATTTAGACTAGATAGAATAGTGATTTTAGTATTGATTGATTGAAGTTTTAGTCAAGTTGGCTTTATAGCCTAGCTTGTCGTAGATAAAAAAGAACATAAATAAAATTCTAGTCCACCTAGACTCCTTACCGAATAAACAGTACCCAATAAATTGTGTCGACACATTTATTTAGGTACCCGAAATTGACAGGGTTCCAGTTTTTATTCGGTTGATTTAAGAAAAGTAAAAGTAGAACATTTATAGAAAGTGTATTTTAGTGTACTTGTAAGTCAATACTTAGAAATATGGACTTACTTAGAAATACAGTCAAAAGACCGCAGACAGTTTTATGTTAATTTTAATTTGTCACTCAAAAGTATAACTTTTTCTGTTTCTTTAAAATACGGTTCCCTAAAAATTGTAATTTTTAAACCACCTTTATAAATATATATATATATTTCAAACCATATAGTTTTTTTTTGTTTTATTAAGGACTAGCATAATATTTTTAAATTTTGTTGATAGAAGAAATGTAACTTTCTCAAATTCTCTTCACGTAGTCTAAGTTAGCAGAATCTCGGGACTATACTTATATCTGGAACGCTCCAAAAGGTTTAGAAGAAAAGTACCCTTGTCCTTAAAGACCTTCTAAGTTAGGTAGAATGACGGTGCATTTTCCTTATACCTTTGTATGTAAATTAAATCACCCACATTGTACTTTTCTGAAAGTATCGTAGTCATTTGAGGCAAGGTAAGAAATTTCACAGTGAAATAAAGCTAACCTTATATTTTTTTAAGTTTGTTTCACAATATATCTTTCTAAAAATGTAAAAAAAAACAACTTTTAAATTATTCCACCTCCATTAATAATTACCTTTATCATTAGCACTAAAACAATATTCATCAAAAAATTAGCAAATACTTGTTAACAGAAAAATAAAAAAAGACAGCAAATATGTAATTAGACAAGGCCGTAACATAGGCTATTTAGTGGGCAGCATTTGTAATGAAATTTTAGATCCTTAAAAGTTTAGATCTTTTTAAATCAATATTTGGTTGAGACAGTTCAAACCTAAAACGTTTACTATAGATGATAGCGCAAGTACTGTAAGGGTTTCTATAAAAATCTCCTTGGGCATCCATATACCACCACAAACGTCAACCGCTTGTAACAAACATGCTATTTGAAGTTATAGCTGTAGTTGCTACACCCAAAATCAGAAATAAACACGGCCTGGTTCAAGTAACATCCTAAAACCCTTAGGGCAACAGAAGCAGCTAGAGTGAGTGCGATCCATAAAATATGTGACATAAACACGTGTTAATGGCCCGACGACTGCTCTAAGTCATCATGATACGACGACACACATGACACAAAACATTATTACATTATAATTAGAAGTCATCAACAAGTTCTGTTATTAAAAGACTAGGGAAACTGATAGTGATTTTTTTTTACAAAAAATTTGCTTATATATCCTTGAGAGTCTTGGAAAGCCTTAGAAGAGCTTTGAGTGCTTTGTTATTTAGTGGCGTAAGCTCAATCGCTTTATCAGTACATGGTAAAGGTTGGTAGTTTAATTC